ACTCAAAGCCTTCCTTTATCAGTCTGATATTTGGTCTTCTTCTTTTCATGCTGCCTTTAGTTCTGCACAGCTCTTTCAAACTCAAAGCCTTCCTTTATCCATCTGATGTTTGGTCTTCCTCTTTTCATGCTGCCTTTAGCTTTTCCTACTACCATTGTCTTTTCCAGTGAGTCTTGTCTTCTCATGATGTATCCAAAGTCTGACAGCCTTGTTGTTGTTGTTTAGTCATTTACTTATGTCTGACTCTTTGTGATCCCATGGACCAGAGCATGCCAGGCCCTCCTGTCTTCCACTGCCTCCCAGAGTTGGGTCAAATTCATGTTGGTAGCTTTGATGAGACTGTCTAACCATTTCATTCTCTGTCGTCCCCTTCTCCTCTTGCCTTCACACTTTCCCAACATCAGGGTCTTTTCCAGGGAGTCTTCTCTTCTTGATGTCTCAGTCCTTGCCATCCTTGAAGTCTGAACAAGTCAATTTGGGTAAGGTCCCACAGTAGGGGTCAGCCAGTTAACAGGCCAACAGACCCAACATTTCCTGCAATGTATGTTGTACATTTTTGCCATATTATCAGGTGAAACATCCCTTGCTACCTGGAGCTTTCTTAACCTGCTTGTCAATAGTGCTCTTCAGATGAGCAGCGTTCCAGCTGCTGATACCTTTAATGAAGAGAAGCAGATGGTGAAAAAATGTGGTTCAAGGGACAGTGTCTAGAAAACTCCCAAATGTTTAGCTCCTGAATCCAGAAAGAGAAGAGGGAATGTGCTTTGACGGTCCCAACGGAAACAAAATCAGTCCTAAATTAAGAAAACAATGAACAGTTTAGAAAAAAAAAGATGGCACGCTGTGGTCCGCTGGATATTGCAACACTGCAGTGTCCATCAGGCTTGGTCAGCAAAGTGAGAGAGAGCAATCAGGGGTCATGGGGGTTTCAGTCCAGAAACTCCTGATGAGGCCAAGTTGTCCACCTCTGGCTACAAGGCATAAGTGACTATTGTGAATGAAAGCAGGGATGAGTTACAGATGGTGGAGGGAGAGAAAAGAACCTTGCCATGTGATCTTTTTATATTTGAAAGCTGTTATGACCTCCAGACTCATACCTGTAATTTAAGATATTGATTCCTCTTGCTCAGAAAATGCCTTTCGTCTCCTTCCCATGTTTCAGTCTATAGATTAGTGTCCAATACTATTCCCTACCTGGAGTTCCCCTTATCAGATTGGCACCCACACATTGTCTTTCATTTTCTTGTCATACTTCTATGTTTCTCTTGGTTTGTGCCTTTGTCTTCCTACTCTTCCATGCAGCCTAAATGAAAAGCTTTGCTATCTTCTCAGAGTGTGTAAGATATTGTTTCTCAGCTATGAAAGTAAATGTATAACTACAGACTGTTCTAGATTACTTTAGGCATCCATTTTAAGACCAGCAGTGGTTGGTAATACAGTTCACAAGTAAGAACAACTGACTTCATCAAGGAGAGAGGGAAGTTCTAGCCTTGGCATCAATAAAGGGTGGATATGGAGAAGAGAAGCTACTGCACTCCCCCTCCACTGGGGGCAACACTATCTCTATTGCATTGTTTCCAGATTTTGTTGATGTGATGGCAGCAAAAAAATTTTAAAAAAAAAAAAGGAAGGAGGATTTCTTGTAAAACAAGATGAGCAAAGAATGTATACCTTCTTTTAAAGCACATACTTTGCTTTAACGGAATTGCAATTGAAGATGATTTGGTTGCTAGAATTTTGTATTAGTAGCAGCAGCAGCAGCTGTTGTTGTTAAGTGTTCTCTAAGTCATTTCACCCTTTGGTGATCCTATGAACAAATGGCCTCCAAAATGTCCTGTTTTTAACAGCCTTGCTCAGTTCTTTCAAACTCAAAGCCTTCCTTTATCAGTCTGATATTTGGTCTTCTTCTTTTCATGCTGCCTTCTTCGTGACTGACCAGAGCATGCCAGGCCCTCCTGTCTTCCACTGCCTCCCAGAATTGGGTCAAATTCATGTTGGTAGGTTCGATGACACTGTCCAACCATTTCATTCTCTGTCGTCCCGTCCCCCTTTTGCCTTCACATTTTCCCAACATCAGGGTCTTTTCCAAGGAGTCTTCTCTTCTCATGAGATGGCCAAAGTATTGGGTTTCTATTATGTACAATAATATCTGGAATATGTCTAACCTGGTTTGCAATGTAATACATTTTTTCCCAAATTTTATTTTAATTCAGACATAAAAAAACAAAAATAGAAAGAGCAGTAAAAGAATAATAAGGAAAAAAAACTAAGCTAGACCCTCTGCTAAACTAAAACCCTCCCCCCTTTGGAGTCAGAGACTCCAGCCTCGTTAACCCCTCCACTCTCCCTGGTTTGGTTTCCAGTGTATACTAAGTAGATATACATATATGATAAAATTTGCCCTACATTCCTGTCTTCTTCTGGGCCCAAGAGTATATTAGTTCCCAGCACACCAGGCCCTCCTATCTTCCACTGTCTCCTGGAGTTGTGTCAAATTCATGTTGGCTGCTTCAATGACACTGTCCAACCATCTCATCCTCTGTTGTCCCCTTCTCCTCTTGCTTTCACACTTTCCTAACTTCAGGGTCTTTTCCAGGGAGTCTTCTGTTCTCATGAGATAGCCAAATTATTGGAGCCTCAGCTTCAGGATCTGTCCTTCCAGTGAGCGCTCAGGGATGATTTCCTTTAGAATTGATAGGTTTGTTCTCCTGGCAGTCCAGTGGACACTCAAGTTTGTTCTCCTTGCAGTCCAGGGGACTCTCAATAGTTTTCATACCACTGTGTAATTGTCTTTTTAATGTCATAATTTATTGTGGTTTCATTTGTTTTGTTTTTTAAATAAGTTAATTGGGAGAAAAGTGGGAATAGAAATGTTTTTTGATGTTGTGCTTTAGACTATTTTTGCGTGAACTATACAGCTTTTTTTATTTGCCTGTCCATGGTTTAAATATTTCCTATAATAATTCTTCCCCTTACTTAGAAATGTAGAAAAAACAAAGAAGGTTTTGTTGTGATAGCACTCTGTTTTTGGTGTGCCATCTTTAAAGAGGTGTATCTGGCATTCTTTTCATGACTAGGCTGAGTCATTTTTATATTTCCAAAACAGTTTACTTCAGCAATGCTTAGCCTACTGTTTGCTTTAGTTGCTGCATCATATTTTTTTTATCTGTTATTGTTTTGTTGCATGTCTTAATACTTTTACCTTGCTTTTGCCATTTTTCATACAAGAGCTATTCAATGAAGGACAGTACTTAAACATTTGAAACGGCAAATATATAGACAAAATGTATTCATTATAATTGTTATATTTTGTCTGCCTTTACACCAAAGCTATCTAACTTGGCTTAAGCAATATAAGAAACACCAATTTATCTGTGAAAGCACGGGACCCCTACACTATTGTTATATCTAATATTGTTGCTGTCAGTACCCATTTGTGTTATGACAATAGAAAGAAATTCTGGAAGCCATCCCAGATGTACAGAAATGAGATTTCAGCCCATGCTGCCTGGTTTCAGATCTAATAGTGTCCCTGCTGGCTGCTGCAGTCATTGTTATGCACAGCCCTGAGGGCAAGAAATTTATGTAAGAGAAAAGGCACTGACATGTTTTCCCCATTTAGTCCTCTAGGGCCTTAATGAAAAGACCAGGCCAAATTGACCTTCTGTAAATGTGTCTGAGTTTTAAACCCACTTAACCCAGGTCACCTTAGTAAATTCCACGAAAGTGCCTGAGTTTAAGTTTAAACTTGTCTCTCAGTGCTTCATGGAACTAAGTCAGCTACAGAATGTTGTGTTACTCACTAGACCTCTTTATTCCTCCATATGCAGTTGCAGTTTCTCATGATGATGCTACCAAAAAAAGTGTCCCACCTCTATTCAGTCCAAAAGCCTGACATAATATATATCCATCACAAAGCGAAAAAAAGGTTTGGCCTATCTTGGCGTGTTATCAAAGTTGCAGCATTTCCAAAGCTGCCAGCCTTATGAACATCTATAGGACATTTAAGCTTGGTAGCTCATCCCAAAATACCTTCTGGAGATCAAGAATTACATCATAGGGTACATTAATGATATAACCATTAACTGTTGGGAGAAGAGTGTGCATAATTTCAGACTCTCCAATCTAGCTGGCTTCACTGGAACATAACCCTTTTCCAAACTCTCCCTACCAAGTGCCAAAAAAAGGCCTTTGATTATGTCATAAAATGTGTTGTGTTATATGCTCACAGCATATAGCAACAATAAGAGGGTTTCCAATGTATGACAAATATCTAAGAAAGTTTCCATGGCCAAGTGATTTGAACCCAGATTCCTTGAGTCCTAGTCTAGCATTCAGTCTACTACACCAGGGGGTCTGAAAATGTGTGCTGCGGTGCTGTAGAATGCTGCAAAACCCAGCCAGGGTGCCATGGGAAAACGGATGGAACGTAGAGCTATGGAGGACCTGTTCATAGGTCTATGTCAGGAACCAGAAGTAGAAGCCGTGTACCTGCCTCTATTTTACTAATCTCTATGGTCCCTGGAGGAGGAGCTTGCCAGATGACCTCATGGGTTCCCTGTGTAAGGACCTTGAAGGAGGTGGGGACATTCAGAGGGAGGAGATGGCTTTGTGTATGTGTGTCACAATCATGCCCCTAGTGGCAGAGATATCCCTGATAGCCTCTCTCAGCAAGGAGAGCCATGACCAGTGGTCCGTAAATCAAGGGAGCCGTGACTCCAAAATCTTTGGGAACCACTGTACTACACCACCCTGGTTCTCATGTCATAAGATGCACAGTTGAAATGGGTACCATTAGGCAGATATCTCTTCTAGCATGCAATATTCAGTTTCCCTCTTTGTATCAATCCAGGCCCAAATCAGACTGCTTTATCTCTTTGCAGCCATAAAAATTGTCACTTCACTGAACTATAACTATGCACATTGGTTTTACAAATATGAACACTCTTAGAAATAAAGTCAAAATAAAGGATTGTTTACCTTATCTCATTTTATTTCAGGTATGAAAGCACAGAAAACAATTAAGATGCAGCTTGCAGAAAATACCAACATGAACTCCCTATTTCCCTACTGCCGGATGCTTCCGCTCCAAATCCTGAGCACTGTTTTGCTTCTGCCTGCTTTTGGACCCCCTAGAAAAAGCAATATGAGCAACCTGCAACCTGTGGATTGAATGTGGTCAGAGTGGGTCTTCTAGGCAGCTCTCCATGGCTCCAAAATTTCTGCCACTGCCCCATGGCTAATTCTGCCTATACAACTGCTGCTGTCATGTTTGTGGTGGAAAAGATAGTGTGAAAGGAAAGCCATCCAAGTGTCTCAGTTTGGCAATACACTGATGATCAACCCTTCAAACAGCTTCAAATAGGGAAGAAGAGAGAAGAAGAAAGTTAACTCTACATGTAGTCTTCCCGATTTAATAGCATGTCCTGCTCCCGATTGGGCCATTTGTGATGGGGGAGGGAGAATATTCACAATGATTGGCATGAGGGAGGGAAAATTTCTGTGCCTGAGATAGGCAGAGAAGAATGTCTGATTTATGTCCAGAGGGGAACAAAGGTAAAAGATGATCATGATGATGTGCGATTTTAAAATATTTTTATATACTATGTGGGAACGGTGAGGGTCCCCTGACTGCCAGAGTGGGCTCTTCACACCTTGGAGAGTAAGGGCTGGATTCCCTACCTGCAGCTCACCTGTGGACTGGGGAGTTGATGAGTGGGAGGCTAACTAAATAACTAACTAACTAATGAACGAATGAACTATTGATTGATTGATTGATTGATTGATTGATTGATTGATTGATTGATTGATTGATTGCATTTTTATACTGCATCATCTGGCTGGAGGCCACACTGGGCAGTGCACAGAAGGACAAAACACAATTAATAATAATAATCATAATCAATCAATATAGTGACATCATAAAATAATGTGAATCAAATAAAATTCATAATTAATAAACATTTTTTTTTAAAAAAGGCAGTGTTGATACATGTTAAATATACATACAGTGGTGCCTTGCTTAACGATGATAATCCGTTCCAGGAAAATTGCCCTTAAGCGAAAACATCGTAAAGCGAAATAAAAAACCCCATTGTAACGCATTGAAACCCATTCAATACGTTCCAATGGGGTAAAAACTCACAGTCCAGTGAAGATCCTCCATACGGTGGCCATTTTCGCTGCCTGTATAGCGAGGAATCTGTCCCTAAACACAGCGGGGAGCCATTTTAATTACCCGGCGGCCATTTTGAAACCGCGGATCAGCTGTTAGAGAAACGTCGTTTCACGAAGAATCGGTTCCCGAAGCAGGGAACTGATCATCACAAAGCGAAATTTCCCCATTTAGACCTTCGTTAAGCGGATTAGTCGTAATGTGGGGCAATTGTAAAGCGAGGCACCACTATAATCAGCAGCTTTTAGATGGAGTGGATTGAACAGCCAGCCTGAATAGAAGAGTTTTCAAAGATTTCTTGAATGTTACCAAGGAAGGGCCAGGCAAATTTCAGTAGAAAAATCATTCCGGAGTTGGGGAGGGGGGAACCACAGAAAATGTCCAGGTTCTAGTTCTTTCTTTCTGGACTTCTCTGGGGACTGGCAATCTCAGACATCCCACATGGAAAGTACGAGTAGGATGGGAAGTTCCATGATGCCCTCAGGGCCACAGGTGTGGACATAGCAGCACTTGGACCTAAGGAGGAAGGAGAGACAGGAGAGGAGGGCTGTTGAGTTGACACCATAGATTGGGAGGCTTGAGAGGCCCAGGAGGTGCTGCTGCTACCAGAGAAGTTAAAGTCTGGATGGGAGATGGTCCACAGACATGTTCTTGAAACTGGCTACAGGGTGGCGCTGCCTGTGGCACCAGAGGAAGCCACCCAGGTCCACTGAGACCAAGCCAGGTGCTGAGAGGCACGGAGGCTCAAGAACCAGTGTTGAGCTTGACGCTGGTAGAGGAAGCACCAAGAGGAAGCCACCTAGCTGGAGAAGCCTCACAGTCAGCCTACATCTTGGCCCTGAGAAGATCAGCCTCCCACTCCTCCCCATCCTCCCCCCCCATGCTGGAGACCACAATGAGGTCCACGTAGAACTCTGTAGAGCCTCTTGGGAACATCACTATATCTACAGGCTGGTAAACCTTTGCCACTCACCTCCAGGGACATTCGGCCATTGCATCCAGCACCCTTTTTGTGGCACCCCATGCTTAGCCCACCTCTGATTGGCCTTGGGCCTAGTAGAGGAGGCGGGGCTCCAGTCCTCTCCATAAGAGACTATAAAGGGGCACTGCACCGAAGACAGTAGGAATGAAGTCAACTCCCTGGCACCCTGAGTTACTGGTTTTATGTCTGTGGTCCTGTTGGCCCTTTAAAAGTTCTGGTGCTCAATAAAAGAGCCCATTCCAGCAACTACTCTCAGGGTCATCATGGAAGGAGGCATGGAGGCCACTTACACACTGCTTTAGGTCCTCGCTAAGGGAGAAAGATAAAGATAAAAATTGAAATGAATACTAAAATGAGTTAACCTATGCTTGAACTGTGAGAGTAAATAATCCTGGACTAGATCAGTGGTTCCCAATCTTGGGTAACCCAGGTTTTTTGGGACTGTAACTGCTAGAAACCCCAGCCAGCACAGCTAGTGGTGAAGGCATCTGGGAGTTACAGTCCCAGAACGCCTGAGTTAACCAAGTTTGGGAACCACTGGACTAGATGGACAGATAGTCTTCATCCATTCCTGATTAAATCAGCCCATGTTATTCAGCCTGAGTTAGCCAAGTTTGGGAACCACTGGACAGCTTCGCCCGTTCCTGATTAAATCAGCCCATGTTATTCAGGTTCCATTTTGAATTTCTCCTTGGAAGGCATATGGATCTCATTCCTAAAGACAGCAGCTGTGGGCATGCACTCCAGGTGGCTTTCATTACACAGTAGCACCCTTAGAAGCTCTGAGAACAGCATGACATCTTGTAGGGGGCCATTATCAAAGCCCTGAATTCACTTTCCTAACCATGTTTATCTATCCCTTTCAGACTCAAGGCCTTTTGAATCTGCCCTGTCACATCTTAGGGAAAAGTAAACATCACACTCGTATTAACCTGCTGCAATCAGCATGTGGTGAACATGACCCAGAGAACAAGGTTGTAAATGGCTTTGGTCTTTGCATGCACTTGTACCAGGTTCCATACTGCTTTGGGGGAAAGAAATTATGTCTTCTATGTATTACATGCCATCAAATCAGAACCGACTTAAAACCACCCTAACAGAGTTTTCAATGTAAGTGAGATATTAAGTGAAGTATTTAAGAGTGATCCTACCAGTTCCACTCCCATCCCCCAAATTTCCATGATTGAGAATTTGAATCCAGGTCTCCCGAGTCCTAAGGTCTGTCCAGACAGAGGAATTTGGAGTCGTCTAGTTAGTGCTTGAAAGATTCTTATCTTCAGTGTGATCTATTTTATCTCTCACTTGAGTGATCTTCTATTCATAGTGGAGCTGTTATCTCCCATGGGAAGGCTCCACACAGATCTTTGGACTGTTGACTCACTCATGAGCAAGGTTTACCCAATTTACTCATTGTACATTTACCTAATTTACTCAGGAGTAAGGGGGCAGTAGTAACAGCAGCCGAGGACAGGGGCAACATAAGGGGAAACCATTGGGGTGAAGATTGGGGAGGTGGAAGGCATGTAAATACCTCTTTCCCTGACCTTTCTTCTGAGCCAGGGCTCTTCTGAGGCAGCACTGCCTTCTGGGGCTGGAGCCCATGGAGTTGACATAGCCCCCTTGGCTGCCTTTTCTCTCATCTGTCATTCAGGGTGATTTTTCCCCTTTCTCTTTCTCTTTCTTTCAGGTAAATAAAGTAAGTGGCATGTTGAAATGTCAATGCATCAACCTAGGACGGTAGTAGAATTTCACTGTTTCAGTTGGGGAATTTTTTTTTTTTTGAAATATGAAAAGAGAGGAGGGGGTTTCTCCACTCTTCTTTTTAATGTCACAAGCCACCTACTATATCACAGGGTTGTTACTACCATTAATGCCGACCACAGCTCCATTTGGGTGAGAAATAGCCATTTGCACAGGCTACACATCGGGATAAACAGAAGTGTACTGAATCATACCAAGAAAACCCCCAGAAGCCCTAGCGATGTGCTAAAAAGGAGCAGGGCAAGGGGCAAGATGAGTTGGTTTCAATAGAAAGATGTGTGGACACTGTAATTTGGTTCAAACCAAACTGTACCAACCGTGATCCAAACCTGACTTTTGTGTCCTCTTTGCCTTTTTACATGTGGAATGTGCACTTGTGAATTTGCATGTATTCTGTTCCAGTTTTCGTGTTCACAGAAGCTTGCTGATCAAGACAGGCCATTACCTACTCTTATTTTATTCACTACTTCATCCTGGACATTCTTGTTACCTTCTTGACTAATAATTTTCAGCCTTGCCATGTTGTGATTTTCATGATCCCTGACCTTGTGCATAAGTTGAAGATATGCCCATTATCAATCAATAATAGCTCCCACATGAAACAGCACATGTTTCAGAAGTTTAAATAGTCTATGACATGAGCAAAGGGCTTTTAACTTGAAAGTATGCCTGACTGGAGACCCATCTCCTTTTGAAAGAATTTCAGACTTCATAGATTCTGAAATACTTTCAACACAAACTAACACCATTTTATTGCCTGTGAAACATCCTGTGTAAGAATTCAGCCACCTGTCCTTTTGCCACTCTTGTACTGTTTTGCTGCCAGTGTTGTGGTTGTGGCTTTCAGTTTCTTCTTTTTTCCACCTTAGAAGCCACATCTATCCAATGTGATGTTATCTCCCAGCATCATGCTGAGGGAAATGCTGGTTCCCACAGAGAAACCACTGTTTTTCTCCAGAACATCCTTGGAATGAATGCCTCTAATCAGCACTATGGAGCATTGTCCGTAGTGGAGCATTGTCCAGAGAGTATTTATGAGGCAAAACAGCCACCACAAGTTGCCAGCTTCCCAGCTCAGCCTCCGTCACTCTATAGCTTATGTAGGTCATATCCAACCCAGTGAGCATGGAAACTGGGGTTTGGGGAGTTTTAGTTTGAAAAATAAACTTTTCCAAACTCTCATTGAAACTCTCATTCAACTGGGTGCTATACGTGATAATACGACAATACTGGTTCAGATCTGTCCTTCCTCTCCACTACCTCCAGAAAGTGCAGTTAAGTTACCACATAAAAAATTAGAAAGAATCCCCCTTAGTTCTGCACCTCTGGGTGAAGCACGGAAGTTTGTTGCATTTCTAAGCAACCATGAAGAGAATGGCTAATTCATCCTTGAATCAATGTCCCTTGAAGGACAAGTGGCTTAGTCATACAAGGGGAACCTTTCTCTTTTGGGGGCTCTTTTCTCTATTCCCTGATCTGCCTTTCAACTGACCAGGAGCAGCTCTTTCTTCTCTGGACTAAATTGCAGTTTATTCACCCTCCTCCAGTTCATTGCTAACACTAGAGTCCAATCTAGAGCTGAAACAGCTTCCTCAGATTTAGATGACAAGGAGAGAGCGAGAGCTGAGTGTCATCCGCATACTTATAACATAAACGTGCATGGATGGCTTTGGAGCCATCACTTAATTCTGCATCCACAACAACAACAAAAGAAAAAGTCATCAATTGTCATTGCAGGAAGAGACATGCCTTATCAGGCAAAACCAGCATGGACTCTTGTTCTATTAAAGCAAGCAGCAGGAGGATCTTCCAATCCTCTCCTGAGAGCT